GCAATATTCCACGCAGGACCACATTTGCGTTTTGTACAACAAGCACAGTTGATCAGGCGTAAAAAACGCCGCACCTTGTTCAGGACTCCCGAGTTTGCGTGAAGCTGTTTTGATCACGGTTTCGTTGCCTTTGGATTCAGGTCTGAGTGAACTATCATACAGAGCATGGTGATGTTGCTCCGCAGCGCCAGTGTTATGCCTTGAAGAGGGGGAATGGGAAGGAAAGGCAATGTTTTTGCCATGAAAGCGCAAGTCTGGGTTTTCTTGGCATTGAACTCAACCAAGTTCCTGGTACCACATTCGAAAATGTGGTCGAAAGCCTAATTAAGTTCAGCGACAAGATTCTCCCGTTTCTCCGTGATTTCTACCTGCCCAGCCGCTGCGTGTCCAAAGTATCTTATATGCACTGTACTATAGTCCGCATAGCAATGAATATTCCCAAGAGGAATCAAATCATTGATATGCAGCAGAAAGAGCGTGGGGAATAGAGCGGAGCCCTAAGGAACACCGGCTTTCACTGATATGAACTGCGAACTACATCCGTCCGTAAGGACGCGAATTGCTCGCTCATGCAGGAATTCAGTTGCTCAGGCGCAGAGCTGAGCAGGCAGACCGTATGCAGGAAGCTCGGAGAGAAGGCTTTTGTGCCAGACCCTGTCAAAATCCTTGGCGATGACAAGGCTGATAGCCAGAGACTCTCCCCGCTTGTGTATAGCTTCAGCCCTGATGTGTGTCACGAACGCTAGTATATTTTACGGATTTAGGCCGAATCGATCGAACCTTCGATAGATTCGGCCTAAAACCGTAAAATATAATCCGTAGTTTGAAAAAAAATTGAGAATACCGGTCCATATAGCAAATTTTTTAACGTAAGCGTATATCTTAAACAAGAAAAGACTTGACTAGAGTATAGAGCTACTAAGCTTATTAGGTAATTTGTTGCTTAGGTTTTCACGCACATCACTCATTAAATAAAACTAGTTTTAACGGGTTAATGCACGAAACTTTATTTATTTATTGACGTTTCGCAGCCTTTTTAGGTCTGCTTCGTCAGAATAATGATTTTTTATTTAATTTTGTTGAGCTACCTTCGAAAGACTTTTATTGAGCGTTCGGTTATTTATTTGTTAGATTTTTAAAATTTTATTGTTTATGTATGAATTTATTAGTTAATTTAGTTAATAAAGTACTTTATTTAAAATTCTTTTTTATGATTTTTAGTTTATTTATTTGACCGTAACTACCGTAAACAACCACCGGTTCATCGAACGTCAATAAATAAATAAAGTTTCGTGCATTAACCCGTTAAACCCAGTTTTATTTAACTTATTAGGTAAATAACAATATTTGTAGTACTTACTTGTGAAAGTGATCATGTTGATGGCCCAGTAGAGACCAAAGATGAGCCGGCGGCTGACATTCTCCTCGTCCAAGGCTGCATTGTCCCAGTACGGGGAATGAGTGAAGTTGCTCACCAGACAATAGCGAAACCTGGATGAAGAGGTAAGTTAATTCGCCACCTGTGCATTTCAATATCTAACTACTCAAACCAGGGGGTCATTCGCCTAACGGAAATGGTTTGGAAAACGCTAACGCTTACGATTTCATTTTGTTATTTCTAGCCGCCTGAGGTTTTTAAATGCCTCGCGCTCTTTTTTTTTTCTTTTGCATTGGTAAGAACAATATTAAAAAAAATAAGCATGAGGTATTTGCGTTGTCACCCCAGATGCACTTACAAAATGCTTTAAAATTTTCTCTGATAGTTCGTGACAAAGCATAATATAGGTATTCATTTTAGTTTCTTATTCAAACAAAGAATATAGCCAAAAAAGACAGTCGGAAAACTCACTGGAAGCACATAAATCCCTGCTGCAACGCCGCGATGAGGTAGCAAGCGATAAGCAGCAGTAAAGTATAATTCAAGAACCGCAAGACGTGGCTTTGATAGACGCACATCTCCTCTAGGGACTTCAGCAACCGAAATAACTGAAACCCGCAAAGAATTATTTCTCATCATATTCCTTATGAAGATAGATCCAATTAATTGAGCAATTCGCCCGCATGGCGATCAACGATCTATAAAACATCTGTTATATTAGTGCTATCTACTGCATAGTAGTATAGTAATTTCCAGAGATCAATTTTGTAACGTTGTGCGTTATTAAAGTTCATAATAAACAATAAATATAAATTTTATAGATATTAACGGGATTGTTTCCATGTACCTTGTTTTTTATGAGTCTCCGATATTTCGGCACTGTTGCAAGCGCCATGATCACGGAGTAACTGAAGTAATTGCGGGTAGATGTTATTGGCAGACATATCGGTCTACCCTCTGACGTCGTCTTTTACTGGGTTCGATACTACCACTACCACTGGTCACATTCTCACTATTCACTCGCATTTGTTCCCGGCATACAATACTCACAGTATCAGATCGCGGAACGACACTTTTTTGATTTTTGCGGTTTTTACACATACGAACCACTGGATTCCACACACTAGACAATTTAAACCCATCCTCATGATTGAAATTCTTGTGTTTGGTTATTTCAATCGCTTCCCTGACCAATCTTGGTATGTAGTGGCGTTCTGTCGAGATAATTTGTGGATTATGGAGCTCAATCCAGTGATTAGGACCCGAATCAATTAAATGTTCCGCGATGGCTGATTTTTGCGTATCATTATTTCTGACTGCTTTAATGTGTTCTTTCATTCGGCACGCTATTGTCCGCTTCGTTTGGCCAATATAAGAACTACCACAGCTGCAGTCGATCTTGTATACACCAGGTTTCTCCAAGGGGAAGTTATCTTTGGGAGACCGTAGAATCTGTGATACTTTTTGTAAAGGAGTGAAGACAGTATTCAGTGAGTACTTATTAAGTATGTTAGAGATCTTGTCTGTCACTCCTTTGACATATAGCAAAAATAGTGGTTGCCTGTCTACTTTGTGTTTCTGGTGTCTTAATTTGTGTTTGGGTGGAAACTTTCCCTTGTATCCGTTATTCTGTAAGACCCGCCGTACATGCTCCAACTCTTCGTGCAGGTGTTCCTTGTCACATAAGTCATATGCACGGTTCGTCAGTGAAGTGACTACAGAATTTAGATGTTTAGGGTGATGATGCGAGGAGGCGTTGAGATAACGGTCTGTGTGTGAAGCTTTGCGGTGAATAGAGTGACTCAGCGAACCGTCATTCCGCACTCGAATCTTTACATCAAGAAAGGCTAGACTTCGGTCTTCTTCCATCTCATATATGAACCGCATTTTGGTATGGACTCCATTTCAATTTGCCAAGTGTGCCTCGACATCTTCTTTGTTTCCTCTCAAAACACAAAATACGTCATCGACATACCTCTTCCATAGTGCAATTTCTGTGGGGGCGGTGGCGAAAGCTTTTTCCTCAAAATACTCCATCCATATATTGGCTACTACTGGAGCTACCGGACTGCCCATTGCCACCCCATCTATTTGGAGGTAGTACTGACCTTGGTATATAAAGAAGTTCGTTGACAAACAATGATGTAACAACTTGGCATATTCTGTCGGGATGCCATTGTCCTGCAACTGAATGTGACCAGTGGTAGTGGTAGTATCGAACGCAGTAAAAGACGACGTCAGAGGGTAGACCGATATGTCTGCCAATACATCTACCCGCAATTACTTCAGTTACTCCGTGATCATGGCGCTTGCAACAGTGCCGAAATATCGGAGACTCATAAAAAACAAGGTACATGGTAACAATCCCGTTAATATCTATAATGTTAGTGACCATGAAAGTTTAAAATAATAAATATAAATGTATTAGAAATTAAAACATAAATAATAGTTAATAAAAACGTAAAACTGCGTCGAACACTAAATCTTATACTTAATGTTTAATACTTGAAAAAGTATTCATTTGACATTGTGGGTTACCTACAATGCGAAGAGATGGCGCTGCCTTGCAGCTTAAGGCTAGGAAAATTTCGACGCGGCCATCAGGGCCGTGGTAGCATAATTGTTCAGTGCATTCGCCCGGATTGCGAAGGGTGCGGGTTCGAGTCCCGTCCGCTGCTTGGTCCGCGTGGATTTTTTTCTAGTAAAACTTTTCTTTAGATTTAAACATCTAGCAGTTAAATGATTAAAAAAAATAAAAACATAACTAAATCTTAATTCGATAAATTAATCAAACACATAAAATAATTAGGAAATCAAAGTTCGGTTCAATTAGTTTTCGGGAACCCACGCGCGTTAAATGCTTTATCTCTCGGCAGTTAACCACGTTCATATGCTTACGTAAGAGGGTGGGGCGTGTTTGAGGAAATCAGTTCGTTGATCCATTTATCCGGGTATCAAATACTATAGTACATCTATAAAAATAGTACCTAGCTATACTAAATTTTTGTTAATTAATAATATTAATGTGATGAAAGTTGACATCAACACATGTTTTGGGAAGCTGGACGCCTGAACCCTATCTACCTGCAGTGCGGACCCCTTAAGGCCAGCCAGTCTTTCTCTTTTCCCCTCGCTGCCTGCCGAGACGTGATGTCTACGAAAAGTTAATTTGGGCAATAAAAGATTTGTTTTTCCTAAAAACAATCATTAATTTCAAACTCCTATTCTACCTGCGACTGGGGCACTACTCCTAGCCTAACCGGCCGCAGTCTCAGCAGGTTTAAAATTAATTTGATGCTGTTACATTTTCTACATCAACTACGCCAGTTGTTCTATCAAGATTCAAACAAGAAGAAGTAGATGCGTTACCTTAGGCAGCCTGAGTAGTTTGTTGATGCCGGCGAAGTGTCCATCGTTTACGAACTCGAAGAGGGGAAGAGTACCGACCACGTCCAGCACGAACCAACGGCTACGCATCTGCTGCGCCGACGTTTGAGAAAACGTTATCGGCACTCCTGATTTCAAAACATTTCATGATAGTGTAAGCCTGAAGCTCCTTTGATGGTAAGAGTCTTGCTACTAAAACCTGCAAATGCTTTCGTCGCAAAGAGCGCTAGCACTACACCAGCAACACTGGCTCGAACTGGAGACGTGCAGGCAGACCAAGCTCGCTTTGCCACGGGTGAACGCTGCCTTCTCCAAAACTCTCCTACAGCTAAGCAAACCTACATTGCGCATGGTAACAGGTACTATTACTGGACATGCACATTTTAACAGACATCTTTTCAACATAGGTGCCACGGACAGCCCCCTATGCAGAGGATGCATGGAGGCAGAAGAAACAGCTACTCACGTTCTGCTGGAATGCAACGGAGTGGCCGAATACCGGGCGAAATACCTCGGCTCACCGGGAAACCTTCAAGAGGCAGTCACCAATGTGAAGGCCCTGGGGGCGTTCCTGGGGGAGCTGGGCTGGCTGGAGTGATCCCGGCCATACACCCTCCTCACGCAAAACAGGCGCCATAAGGACGTCGAGTTGCGGAAACGCCCGTAGCAACAACAAGAAGAAGAAGATGCGTTACCTTAGGGAGCCTGAGTAGTTTGTTGATGCCGGCGAAGTGTCCATCGTTTACGAACTCGAAGAGAGGAAGAGTACCGACCACGTCCAGCACGAACCAGCGGCTACGCATCTGTTGCGCCGACGTTTGAGAAAACGTTATCGGCACTCCTGATTTCAAAACATTTCATGATAATGTAAGCCTGAAGCTCCTTTGATGGTAAGAGTCTAGCTACTAAAACCTGCAAATTTGCAAATTTTGACGACCTCCGTGGCCGAGTGGTTTATACGCCGGGTTTCATGGTGACGCCGACTCGAGAGGTCCCGGGTTCGAATCCCGGTGGGGGCAGATTTTTGTGTGATGAATACGAGCATTTGTACTCCAGTCATGGATGTTTAATATGTGTTTCTATATAAATATACTTATATATGTACTGTATGTTGAGGAGCTCGATGGCGCAAGTGGGTAGCGCGTTCGGCTGCGATCGTTGTAGTTAAGCAACTTTCGCAGTGGTCGGTCATTGGATGGGTGACCAAAAAATACTATCTCGAGCTCCTCCGTGCTTCGGAAGGCACGTTAAGCCGTTGGTCCCGGCTGCATCTGCAGTCGTTAGCACCCACCAATCCGCACTGGGCCCTCGTGGTGGGTCATGGCCCAATCCCCCTATTCCATCCATAGGGAAGGCCTGTGCCCCAGCAGTGGGGACATTAATAGACTGATGATGATTATGTACTGTATATGTATTCTATCCGTAACCCATAACACAAGCCTTACAGTGCTTACTTTGGGGCTAGGTTAATTGGTGTGAGTGTTGGAAATATTTATTATTATTATTAATTATAAATGCTTTCGTCGCAAAGAGTAATAATACTAGCTGGTATTGCGTTCTTATAGTTGTATTCCCGCGAAGCTTCTACCTCTTTCACTATAGCTGTGCTGCATTATTAGATTTGATTTATTTTATTTTTATTTTATTTTATTGATCATTTCCGAAGCAATACTTTGAATGTTTAATTTCAGTGTCTCTTTTCTTTTTAAACAACTACAGATAATAAAGTTCTCTTAATGAAAATCATCAAATTACCTTCTTCGACGTTAGCCCCCGTGGAAAGGTATACAATGAGGTCCAGAACGTACAGCATAGTCACTACGTAATCGAAGAACCTGAACTCCACTGGGACATTCTTCTTGAATACCAAATAATAGGGGTGCGTCTAAAACAACAGCAAAGAGTTAAAGTTTAAATAAAAATTAGATTCAATATCAAGAATTGTTTATGAAAGAGAAACTTACAAAACAAACGACGACAATAATGCAGGATATGAAGCAGTTCCACGTTAACAGCAGCGAGGATGCAGGCTGCAAGATGCAGGGAAACGTTGGACGCAAGCAGATCGCGTCAGCCTCGTTCGTTTGAGAAGCATCAGCTTGCTAGAAGAAGAAAAGCCAGTTCAGCTTGAACATTATTTATATTCATCTAAACATTAAAGTAATTTTCTGCGTCTGTCTGTATATCAGCAAACTCCTCTTAAACTTCTCAATGGATTTTGATCATCACCATCAAGATACAAGACCGAGAGCAAAAACTTTAGTCTGTTTATCCTAGTGTCCTTTGTCGCACTATCCGTAAATGGAATGCTCTGCCTGCTCACGTGTTCCCTCCTTCTTACAACCTGGGATCCTTTAAAGGAGGCGTGAAGAAGCAACATGCAGGCCGGCAAGGTGAGGATGGCTGGTGTGGCAGGTAGAACTGCTTTACCAGCTATCTTCACATCTGGACGTCACCATCACAATAACATCAGGTGGGATGGAGTCATTGGTCGGACCTATCCATAAAAAAAAGTGTAGTGAGATCGGATCAATAATTTGTTATAAATATTTCTTTATTGTACCATAGTTAGTTAGTCATTTGGCGTGATTCTCTAAACTTAAAACTAAATTTGACATCAGTCTCTCCTTTTCATTCTGTATAGAGAATGACAAGGATATACTGCTGTCAAATTTAAGTTTAGGTTTAGAGAATCATGCTAGAATCGACACCATTAACCGAATATAATATTAACATGAATCACTGAGTACAAACGGGCTCTAATTCAGATAGACACCTATTAATATCCTGTTTCCTAAACTATCCTAAAAACCAATAGAAAAGACACAAAAAGATACGAACATTTCTCATGATGTAACTACCAGCTATCTTCAAGAAGACGTCTCTCCGTTGGAGAAGCTGATCGCCACGTTCATCCGTCTCTTCCTTCAGTGCCATCAGTTTGCGTTTGAAATGCAAAATGCTACTCTTGTGCCTGAACAGTGATCGTTGCGTTATGAATTTTAAACGACTTATAAATCATTATGTACTATAAGAAACTTACTTGACTTGTTCAGGATTCTTTTGCTGATAATGTCTCTTTACTTTGTCCAGGTGTTCCTGAAATAAATACCAGTTAATTGTGTTAAACTAGTTGCCGGTGTGAACTTTACTTCCGTATTTGGCTGCGGTCTTGGATACTGACAATGAGCACATCAGCAGCCTATTAATATCCCCGATTCTACGATGCAGGTCTTTCCATTAGATGGAATAGAGAGATTAGGTCATGACTCACCACGCCGACCCAGTGCAAAAGCTGCCGCAACTAACAGCTTAACGCAACTTCCGAAGCACGGAAGAGTTTTAGATAAAATGTGACAACAGTGATGTCGGTTCTGGCATGATTCTCTAAAGCTAAACTTAATTTTGACAACAGTGTATCTTTGTCATTCTCTATACAGAATAAAAAGGACAGGCAGAATGTTAAATTTAGTTTTAAGTTTAGAGAATCTTGCCAGAAACGAAACCAATTTATCCTTGTCATGCTTTAAAATACAGAATGAAAACGACAGACATCAAATATAAGAGAGATAGGGCATAGCAGATTTTGCCGCTAGCATTGGAGCGTCCGTCTGGGGAAGTAGTCTCTCACAGAAGACAACAGTGAAGTTACACTACCTTTTGGTGCCCAGTCAGTATCTACCTATGGAGAACAGAATGATGCTAGTCTGGCGTCTGCTTCTTTGTGTGAATAAGGCCTAGGATTTAGCTGATTAGTCCAAAACTCACATAGAAGGAGGACAGGATGACGCTGGCCTGGCCTTGGTTGCGCACGTGCTTTAACACCACCAGCCACAGGTCTCTCATAGTAAGCGCATGCGTGATGCAGAAGGTAGCAGCACGGATCTCGACGTAGGCGCGCGCGCAGGCCGCCACCGCACCACCCGCGCACCCCGCCAGCAAGGAGCCGCGCGTCAGACGCAACACCGCCGTGCTGTCGTCCTCTGCAGATACCATCTGATTGTGAATTGTAATTTAAAATCAAATAGTGATCGTAAACAGTGGCGGGGCAAGACCTAAATTTGATATGGGCAAGACAGATTTCGCGAGGCCCTGTTCTGTGGCGACCTGAAGACGGATTTTATAAAATAATAAAAAAAAAATCGCTTTTAAACAATGCATAAAAATTTTTGAGGCGCGAGGCCATAGGCGGTGGCTCACGTCGCCCACGCCTTACGCCGCCTCTGATCGTAAATACTTCACCTGGGGTATATTATTCGGAACATGTTCAAAATATCGTAAATCCAAACATTCCCATTGTTCTTTCATGATCAAAAAGTAAGTGACCTGAAAAACTCGGATTGTGAATAAATGTAAAACAAATTGGTCGTGAATTCTTCATCAAAAAAATTAACATAATGCTAATCGTATTATAGTATTTATTCAAAAGAAGAAATCTTAAAGAATGGTGCAAAAAAAGCCACTCAATTTAAAAATAATAATGCTGGATTGATGCGACAGAGATATGAGTCGCCACAGCGATCGATCCTTGAGCCCCCTAGCTGGATTAAATCTTTACCCCATGTACTCGTAATCATCATTATTATCTATGGCATACGTGTTATATCATAAAATTCTTGTCTTGTCTTACCCATTTAATATTACTGAACAGGTTAATTCTCACCAAGGTCTGTCCCGGTACTTTAGGTCTACGCAATTTTGCAAAGATATTAATCTATACCTTTTATTTTGCAATAGATTTTAATATATACCTTAGGCTAGATATTAATTATTAGCTTTTTAGGTTCCGTCGACTGATCAAATGAAACACTCGCCTCGATATCGCCGTAAGCGATGAAGATCATGGTAGACTTCTTGGAAGACCTCTTGATGATGGCGTCTCCGGGGATGTACAGTACTGTGCTCATTTTTTTCGCCAACTTCGACAGAAACTCGTAAGATAAGTCACACAATATGCGATTCTGAAACAAATCACATTTGTTATAATTTATTACTAGAAAAGTTCCACGCGGACCAGGGTGCCAATCGCCTAACGGAAATGCTTTGGAAAATGCTAACGCTAACGATTTCATTTTGTTATTTCTAGCCGCCTGAGGTTTTCAAATGCCTTGCGCTCTTTTTCTTTCTTTTGCATTGGTAATAACAATATGAAAGAAAATGAGCGTGAGGTATATAAAAACCTTCGGCCGTCAGAAATAACAATATGAAATCGGAAGCGTTAGCGTTTTCCAAAGCATTTCCGTTAGGCGAATGGCCCCCAGGCAGTAGCACCTTTTTTTTGTGTCTGGGAAATGCCTTACGCATCCTTCAACCACTGGGGGAGCGAGAAGAAGGTATGTGGTTCATTTCAGGCAGCCCTGTGGCTGGGTGAAATAAACAGGGCCCTATCTAACGCCCTGAACAGAGCCACTAAAAACCAGACAATACTCCTGCACCGTCACCCGACACGCACTATGAGGACCGCGGTCCCCCTAGTGCGTGCTGAGAGGGCGGATGTGGTCGCGGCTCCCGTTTCCGAATGGCCGCGCACCCGCCAGTAGCACCTGGCCCTTTGCAGAATGCCGCCCCGGACCATGGTTCTTCTGACCCTAAGTGAATCTCGCGGAGGTGGGGTTGTCCTCCTGTGGGGAGGGAGAAGTAGAGGACGCATACCACGCTCTGTGGGAGTGTAAGCTCTACGGGGAGGCGCGTAGGGAACTTCTGGGGGCCAATCGCCTAACGGAAATGCTTTGGGAAACGCTAACGCTTACGATTTTATATTGTTATTTCTAGCCGCCTGAGGCTTTCGAATACCTCACGGTCATTTTTTTTAATATTGTTATTACCAATGCAAAAGAAAAAGAAAGAGCGCGAGGCATTTGAATACCTCAGGCGGCTAGAAATAACAAAATAAAATCGTAAGCGTTAGCGTTTTCCAAAGCATTTCCGTTAGGCGATTGGCCCCCTGGACAGGGTAAAGGTGCTCCAGGTTGGGCCGGTCTACTATTGCGACTTCGTGGGATCGGAGGCGAACTTCAGGCAGCTGCGGGATTTCGCGCGTAGATGGCACAAGATTCAGAGTGGACTCGAGAGGTGAAGAAAGAAGATTCGAGGCGAAGAGGGAAGTAGTCGTAGCACGGTCCTGCCGTGCAATTGGAGCCAGCGGTACCACTTCAGAGTGGGCACGGGACGACTGGGATGGCGACGAAGGCGTTTCGTGTACGTCCGCCCCAGAAAGGGGAGAGGGACCATAGGGACAAAGGAGACAGATAAAGAATAATTTGTAGGGAGTCAAGAAAGTCCGCGCGGTGGAGGCCATTTCGCGCGTATCTCCCGCTGCTTCGGCCTGCATAACCAAGAAAGTTCGCCAGACCATGGGTGGTTGGTGGGATTTGACCCTAAGTGTAAATACTCCTCTGTCTACATACTAAAGTTACCTTTTGCGTGGCGTCGAAATAGATGTCAGTGTAAATGGTATTCGGCAACGTAGGAGGGTAGGTTGGGAGCAGCTGCGTGGCCGACACTGCCTTCTGCTTGTGCCAGTACATCTTATAAAATGTCTCCACCTTTTCACGGAGACTCGGTGGCACCATGGACTCTACCTTTAATAGAAACCAATTAATATTATTTTAAATGAGTGTTTAATCTCAGAATTATCATGAATGAGATTTATCAATGGGTGGTGTATTCAAATCATGTTAATCAAAATACTCTCACCATTTCCTTTATGATCAGACGGTATCTCTCCTGGAAGGCCTCTTCAGGGCGCATGTAGATGCTGATGACGAGAGATAAGGACGCCACAGCTGCACCGGTCACCACCAGACTTCCGGTCAGCATCACCAGCAAGCATGCGATGCGCTCCATGTCATTGGCTGGAGCAACTGACGGCCTGAATCAAATGTTTGTAAGTTGTATAATATACCTATTTTTATATGAGAAACAAAGCAATTTGCTCTAGGTAGGAGCAAATTACCTCAGAACTGGAATCCAATTGTGAAGATAGCTAGTGGTATGGAATAGTTTGCCTGCTTCAGGGCCGTCTTTAACCTATTGGAGGCCCTGGGCATATTAGGATAATGGGCCCCCCTATGACTTTGATGTGGAGCGAGTCATACTGATGAGTGTACTACTGATGATTTTTCTTTAAAAGTGTATGTGCATAGCATACCATTATATGTATATTTAGATTTATCTAAGCATACTGAAGTCGGAAAGCCTAATTTTTGGGCGAGAGTAGAATAGTTTCGCTTATGTAAAAGCTAGTAAGCTAGTAATTTTGTTGGTATTGTGGTCAATAATTTAGGTTCGATTTCATCGAATTATATTAGTTTTTTGGTAATAAATATTGGTTATCGTTTGGTGATCTGACCGGAACTAGGTACTTTGTATTTGATCTGAGGGAGGCCCCTATCGATCGCGGGGCCCTGGGCACTTGCCCAAAATGCCCATTGGGAAAGAGGGGTATGGCCTACTTCAACTTAATATATCTGTACCCCTTTGAGCACTAACAACCTTTTTTTTGTGTCTGGGAAATGCCTGACGCATCCTTCAACCACTGGAGGAGCGAGAAGAAGGTATGTGGCACTCCTCCCCGTTCAGCACTAGCAACCTAAGTCAATAGAGAGGATATAGTTATTTGTCACTGTAAAAATTTGTTGCTATGTCTGTAGGCTCGTCTTTAAACGCTGCTTTACCTGTTTTTAATACCGAGTTTTCAACAGATACTTTTCAGAGGTAAAAGAGAAGAAATAAAACTGATGGTGGATTCTAAGTTACCTGATCGGGACATCTCTTGTAGAAAAACGGCCATGAATGATGTGAAATAAGCGGTATTCCACTCTTACTAAAAGGAAATAATCCACGAGCAATGGACTTAGAATTAATGGACTCAGAGTCGCGCAGTGTGCTATGGAGAGGGCTATGCTCGGTGTTTCCCTACGTGATAAGATCCGAAATACGGAGATCCGTAGAAGGACCGGTGTGTACGACATAGCCCGAAGAGTTAGCACGCTGAAGTGGCACTGGGCAGGCCACATCGCTCGAGAATGTGACAACCGTTGGGTAAGAAAGGTCCTCGAGTGGCGACCACGTACCGGACGACGCAGCGTGGGGCGGCCCCCAACAAGGTGGACTGACGACATCGTCAAATGTGCTGGGAGCCGCTGAATGCGGATAGCGCAGGACCGCGCATTGTGGCGTTCTATGGGGGAGGCCTATGTCCAGCAGTGGACGGAGAAAGGCTGATGGATGGATGGATGAATGGACTTATATTCCACGTAAAGAAAAATATTTTGATTACCTGCTGAATTTGAAAGCAGTCTTACCCGATCGGTATGAACATCTTGTTTACGATGTACAGCGCGCCAAGAAATTGACTAGCGGGGTTCGTCTGCTTCAGCTCTGTTTGTACTTCGTGTAAGGCTCTCCTGCTATACTCCTCGATGTGTTTGCGTTCGAACTATTAATAAAATAAAAATAGTAGCAAATTAGTATGTTTAGCACTCCTCGCAGCCATGACCAATGTGGGCCAATATCAACATACTATTTTTTTGTAAGTCTTGGTCGCGGTAATAAGATAGTATTACCGTGACTTGGTGGCGCAAATTTTTTTCTTTTCAAGTCGCGTAGCAATAATCATTGAGTAATTAACATACAAAAATAGAGCACTGCCTACAAAACTTAATTTTATCCATCAAAGCTTAAACATTATTTATATGAAAAAACAAATAAAAATGTCGTTAAAATTATTTGCTGAAGACGAAATTTCAATATAGTCTATATAAATAAAACTCAAAGGTGACTGACTGACTGACATAGTGATCTATCAACGCACAGCCCAAACCACTGGTCGGATCGGGCTGAAATTTGGCATGCAGGTTGATGTTATGACGAAGGCATACGCTAAGAAAGGGTTTTGATCAATTCTACCCCCAAGGGGATTAAATAGGGAATGAAAGTTTGTATGAAACTTTGTCAATTTTAAACCGATTGGGCTGAGACTTTGTATGCAGGTATAAGAAGAATCATACATGAATGTCATTGTATATAATACAAGCCTGAGAACAAAAACTGTAGTCTACACTTCAGCTCTACACCGAAGCGAAGCGAGGGCGGGCCACTAGTTAATCCATATGTAACCGGAGGAGTATATGTAGCCACTATACTTAGCTTTTGAGGACTTTCAAAGTCTTTGATAGTATTTGGGAACTTGCTGTGACTGCGATGCGAGAGATAACATATTATTTACTTATAGGTTTTGATGTACCTATTATACGTTTATACGAAACTGCTAACATGTCAGTTACTTTCTGGGCCCTTGATGCAAAACCTGTCCAGGTGCAGTTGGAAGTGAAGTAGAATTCGCTGCCGTTCTAGAAGATGCCTTCAATCTTCTAGCCGGGATGAACTCGGTATTAACATCTGTGGCAAATATCCCACAAACCTTCGATTCACTGCCGGGATTATCGTTTTTATGAAGTTCAAGACTTACCTCATCGACATGAAGCCAGATCAAAGCCCACATGATCCTCAGCACGAAGAACAGGTAGAAGTACTTGAGAGCTGTACCCAGTATGCTGCCTTTTAACGTATAGTCGTTTAAGTTCCCTGAGAAGTTGTTTCCACGAAGTTTACCCGAATGTTTAAATCTTACTTCTAATAATAACTGAAAAGAAAAAAAATCAAGTCCAGTAGTCTTTAATTCTGTTAAGTAAGGAACTTTAACAGTCGCGACCCATTATTGAAAAAAAAAAAAACATTCTTGAATATCTAATGGGTCCCGACTGTAAAAGTAACTTTGTTCCTTACTTAACAGAATTATAGACTACTGGACTTGTTTCTTTTTTTCATTTCAGATTTAAGTTTTTATTTGAAGTAATATTTAAGCAAAAGACCCGACGATCTTTTGATCTTTTAAATTTACCTTTTGTATTATGATCATTGAAATATGTGGCATTAAAATATGCATTACCTACATACGAAATACTTGGCGGTCAACCACTTAAATCTCATAGTTTTAGCTATTGTATTACCTACGTTCAATAGATTTATAGTCTTATATTACATTACATTACATTTTGTACAAATTTAGATAGCCCTAAGGCGGAATGTATTCAAGTTTCGATAAAGAGGTCCAATGGGCACTTTTATATATAACCTTTTTGGGGAGATCGAATGGTCCAGTGGGTACAGTTACAGTAGGGTCTAATCTTGAAGGTACAATGGGCACCAAAAAAGAGTTCCAATGGGCACATTGAATATAAAAAAAAGGAAGGTCCAATGGGCCATATAAATGAGGTCCAATGGGCAATTTTTGCATTCTGGTCGAATCTTGAGGGTCCAATGGGTACTAGACCATCTGTTCAATAGACAAAAGTACGTCCTAAAGCAATAACGCAGTGGCAGTGACTACACCTACACTCATAGAAATAACTTATTTTCGGTCCTACACCAGTGACCAAGAAGGCAACAAGGTTGACCCCTTGGTGTCGCAAGCACAATTTCGCCAGCTAATATGATTGAATGACTGATTTAGCTTATTCTAGACTGTGAACCACCATTTTCACATACAAAAAAATCATTAATTAGATGATCTTGTGCGGGATAGTCTTAGCACAGCCCCAAAGTAAGCACTGTAGACTGTAGGCTTGTGCTATGGGATACTAGGGTAACGGATAGAATCTATACATATAATAAAACTAGCTGACTCGGCGAACTTCGTACCGCCCAAAAGTAATAATTTGCAATAAATTAAAATTGCGACTATAATTTGAGATTTAAACTATTCTATCTCTCAAGTTGGATCGAACTGCACATGGTGTGCGAATTTTATTATAATCGGTTCAGTGGTTTAGGAGTCCATTGAGGACAAACATTGTGACACGAGATTTATATATATTAAGATGATAGGAAAGTCAAAACTGTACATTAAATATTTTTTTTAAATAATACTCGGGGTGTGATCTACAATCGATACCGTAGCCAAAAATATAGTTTTTAGAATTTTTGTCTGTTTGTCTGTATGTATGTCCGGGTCTAAAAAAGTACTGCAAGGATTTACTTCAAATTCGGCACGATTATTATTAAGAGGTCGGGTCAACATATAGGCTACATATTATCACGCTATCACCTACGGGGAACGAGCAGTGAACCCTAATTTCTAACTAACTCCACGCGTACGAAGTCGCGGGCGGCCGCTAGTACATATATAAGCATATTTATATAGAAATACATATTAGACATCCATGACTGGAGTACAAATGTTCGTATTCATCACAGAAACATCTGCCCCAACCGGGATTCGAACCAAGGACCTCTCGAGTAGGCGTCACCTTGAAATCCGGCGTTCATACCACTCGGCCACGGAGGTCGTCAAAAAATGTATTAGATACATATTGGAGACCGATGGCGTAGTTTTACGATAATCATGTTGTCATCATCATGTAACAGGCTAAATTGAATAAACGATATTAAATTAGAATTTGACTAACAGAGGTATTGAATTGGGCGGTGCATGCGCAGGACGTAGCATAGTGTCTTAAAGTTCTTCTGCCAGATCTCTCTGTTTACAATGTAGTGGAGGTACGATATGGAATCAAGCACGTACCCGACTGCGGATAGAGAATACATATTTTTTTGAAATTCTTTTACTTTGAGCTATGTATATGTTATGGGCTAAGTGATTAATCGGGCAATATGAATAATGCCCAATAAGAGCTGGCGATGTGATTTTAACCAATCAATTTATCGCATTGCCCGGGCATTATGAATAATGACGAGTGCCTATTGGGCAGAGTGACACAAAATGGCGAGACATCTCTCATTTTGACAATAGTACCAACTTTTTGAACTTATTCATACTGCCCGGTCCAAGCGATGAATTCAAGCTATCTCAAACACTGACTTATTACATGGACCACGAGCCGTCCGGCATTATTAATAATGACCGGGCAATGTGATAAATAGGTGAGTTTAGATTGTAATTAATCACTTGGCCCGATATGGCTGGGCATTATTCATACTGCCCTGGCTATATGAATACTGCCCGCATTAATCACTTGGCCCACAAGAGTTTTCTAATATAAGAAATACTTGGAAATCGTACTGAGAGCGCATTTTATTTATAGGAGAAAATAAGCCTAGATATAGAAATTGTTTCATTTTGTATTGCACCTACAATACGATTAATGTATTTTATGTCTTTTCTGATCTACGCAGTATTTCATCAATATTTTTTTAATACTTTGATATGTCCGTACTAATTGTACCTATTTTAGCAAGCCTGGAGTTGTGACCATCCGAGGTGGTGACGGCGTTGTAAACGACACTGGCCACGTGTACGCCGTACACAACGTTGTAAGACAAGTCCAGGGCATCCACGTACGGGTCCTGCAGGTACAAAAATCAGACAAATACTCAAACAAAATATCTCTGAACTAACGTTTATCTAATTCAGAATCTCACTGAAGACAGGAGTTACACCGACTAGCCGGGTCAACTAGCCAGTTATGCTGGACATTTGGGTAAGAAAGCTACTTACAGTTTAGCTCTCGGGCTTGACTTATACTATAAACCTGCCTCTTGAATCACTCTGTCTATTGCTGAAAATTGCATTAAAATTAGACTTGCAACGAATAGTATATTCGGCAGTATACCGAATAGTCGGCGAGGCCCCTCACCGAATAGCCGAATATTAGGCAAAAGTATTCGGCTGGATTTTAGCGCCAAAAACTTGTACAGACGTGATTGTTTCGCGTTCCTTTGTTTTCTTCTAATCTGCCGTCCTCAAGCTAAAATGCGGCTAAATGACAAAACCAACTTTTGAGATATGGCCAAAAACAGCGTGTAAACTTTAAATTATTGCTATTATGTAACCATTCATCACATGACTGAATGAATAAAAAACTGTTAACTGGTTTAATACAGAAAATGATTAAATTATGCACCTGTTTTATGTACCAATGACTACTTAATAATGATTATAAAAGAAATAAGAACCTTACCCCTCTAAATTTTGATTACCACAATAATAGAAATACAAAGAATCCTCCATTTTTCCAATTCAGAAGATGATTATGTACCCGTGTTATGTACCAATGACTACTGAAATTATTATATAACAGAAATGAAAATATGAATATATACGTAATCAATCTATTTTAATTTTTCATTTTACCAATTATTTCTCTATGACAAAATATATTATTTAAGTATTCGGTCGAATAATATGTAGATATTCGGTATTCGGCCGAATATAATAAAAGCAGCCGAATAGGCCAAATACCTAATAGTAACCGAATATTCGTTGCAAGTCTAATTAAAATCCGTTCCGAAGCTTAAAAGATCATGGAGGACAGACAGCGGGAATGACTTTTTTGTAGTTTATACAGATTAAAGAATCTAAAGTATTTTTAAGATTGAGCTTTTTCATTTTCCTCAAATGTGAGATTACTGGCAGCGGGCGCTTGTATGGCTCTTTAACGATTTCTACCCGGGTCGGAGTAAAGCTTGTTCACAAGCATGGTTTGTACGTTTGTATACTGACCCCGAACCGTTGCTAGCGCCGATGTTGTTAACAAACCTACATAGTGTCCCATACCTAACTGACGACCGGACGTAGACGGCTTAAAACCGTGCCTAGACCCGGGTGGAAATCTTCTTGTTAACAAGCGCCCATTTCTCCGGATAGCAAAGAAAGGATGCTTGTTCGGGGGCTGTCGCGTCTGAAACCGCCTCTAGAGGCTCTTGTGTAGCGCGAGGTCTCCGAAATGTCAAATGTTATAGCTTGTGGGTCGACAACGCGGGTAAATCAAATAATGTTGTGAATATTTGGTAATAACTCAGACTTATTATGGCAAATATGAGTTACGTGTCAACGAATGTCAGTTATTTAAAAGCGGAGCTAAGAAACATTATTATGTCCTCTTGTTTTTCCGAAGAAAACGGGACTGCGCAACACTATGGCACGAGCGATAGTGTTTATGATACGGTTCTTTTGTATTAAAATATGATTTAAATCTAAACTTTGATATCACGAGCGTATTAACTTAACTAACTTTAAAAGCTACACTTCAGGACCTCACTCAGCAGTGGCGCCATCTGGTGAGACAAAACGATAGCCCTCTCATATTCAATTACCTGAATCTCTACAACTACCCACACTATGGCGGCCAGCGCGAAGATACAGATGAAACAGTTCCAGGTGGAATCCCGCGGCATTAGCTGGAGCCAATGGTACAGCCGCTCTCGGCTCCACCAATACGGGTAACATAGCTGGAACGTGCGGATCATTGTCACATTGTGAAATTTTCTGGACTAGGTGAAGTGCTGTTTTGTTTTTTGGTAAGGTTTTAGGGTTCTTCGGAGCAGTGGCGGCGCTAGACCACATGTGGACGTCGGCGACATCAAGTTCGCGAGGCCTATTTTTTACTTCGCAGTAAAAAACCGTTAAATTAAGTGAGCCAAATTATAAAATAACGTATGAGTGAACGAGTTTCATTGTTGATAATCAAATGATGACAAAAAATAATTACAAACATAGAAATTTTATTACAAAAATAGTGTTGCCAGACAGACGATTCTGAATACCCGTAAAGTACTACTCGCTTCCATCACGCACGTGTTAGAAAATAATAAAAGTCATTATCATCTGCTTAGCTTTTTCCCCGCATTGTTCGGGGTCGGCTACCTAAGCCAGGCCAGGAGAAACGAAAATAAATAGGTAACTTGTAAAAATTTTTTGCGAGGCCCCCTCAGGCGCGAAGCCTTCGGCGGTGGCCGACGTCGCCGACGCCTAGCGCCGCCACTGCTTCGGGGTAGGGGATAGGGTTAATGTCAAGGTAGGCAATTGGTATAGCGGGTAAGAGAAAACTGTAATACCCTTTTTAGGGTCTTGACAGGGATGGCAAGGCACAGGCATGAATCCCTTTCTCCTATTGTTATTTGAGATTTTTGAAGCTATATAAGCAGTAATCAATAAAAAAAAGTGAGTTTAAATAGTAGAATAAAAAGTCTATAGCTTCTACAAAACTCAAAATATTTCTAGATTTTAATATTTAAGAGAGCTAAGGCATATCGGATTTACCGTCTGGGGAATAACCGCCACTTCACAGAAGATCTTAGCAAAATAACAATACCTTTTGGTAGTCCGCCTTGGTTGGATAACTAGTCTGATGGCGTTAGGCTGAATACGAGTGCCAATGGAATTCGGCAGTGGCGGATTTACAAATTTGCCGCTAATAGGCTATTAAATTTTTGCCTCCCTTACTGACCTTTGAAATTCAATACGCTAGTTCACAATTATATTTATTCTGAAATTGCAACTTTATGATTTGTGTTCTATCGTCCACATTACGTCGGCTTTTCCCCGTTAGTTTAAAAAATTACAAAATTTAAATTGTAATTAATATTGAAACGCTAATGGAATATTTTAAAAATTCATGATCGCATAAGTACATACCTATATTTTACAGTGCGTTTAGTAATCTTTTATATACGGATTACGGATGTAAGAGTGTTGAGTATACTGTGCATTACTAAAATATAAAAAAAATTGTGACTCGTTTTTCTGTGTAGATTTTGGGGTAAATTTGCCGCCCCCTTAAATCTGCCGCCCTAGGCTCCAGCCTACTGAGCCTACTGGTAAATCCGCCACTGGAATTCGGCTAACTACTAAAGGAGTAAATGAAATTAGTCGAGTACGCCCGTATCCGAGTAGCTTTCCTTTAGTTTACCCGACACCGTCGTCCAGTCCGTATTCCAGTGTAAATATTGCTTCGGGTGCCCGAATTCGAGTAATGTCTTTCGTGTACCCGAATAGGGGTTGATGACCAAATCTAATGAGGGCTATCGCGTATGAATCCGCCGCTAGAGGCGCTAGTGTAGCGTGAGGTCTCCGAAATGTCAAATGTTATTGCTTATTCGGGTTTATAGTCCAGTCATTATAGTAAGTTCACCTCGGAATTCGAGATACCCAGCTGTAAGTCTGTAAATACTTGTATATTGACACCCTAAAAGTTGTCACAAAACCTACATATGGTAGGGTGTACGCAACTATTAAATTTCAAGGTCAAAGGTCACAAAAATCGGTTTTTTGCGCTTTTTTTGTAAATATCTCATTTCCTATGGGTTATTGCCATTTGTATTTATTATCAATATTGTAGAATACAAAATTCTCTACAAATTTTGTTTAAAAAAAATTTTCATACGGTGAACCGTTTTCGAGATAGAGGGCGGAGAGCGCGCGGTCACAGCATCACTTCAGGTCAACCGGTGCCTCCGGTCAAAAACGCGCCATATATAGTTGATGAACTATCGATAAATCAATGATTATAGACAGATAGATAGATAGAAAAATTCTTTATTGCACACACACAAAAGAATACAAAAATAAGGAAACAATAACATAATGTGGGCAAAGGCGGCCTTATCGCTTTAAGCGATCCCTTCCAGACAACCTTTGCGGTAAAGGATAACTAAATGAAGAGGAACTTGCAGTATGCCAGCAAGATAAAATAAAGAAATGTACATATTTTCTTAAACATATAAAGATTATATACAAATAAATAACATATACCTACACAAATAAATATATTATTTATATTATATTTTATCATTTTTTCTAACCTATCCACTTTTTATTCAGTATTAATTTATTTAACAACACTTACCTGCCCATGTAATTGCAGAATTGTTAATGAAAATATAGGAATTATATTTGAATTTAAACCTTATTAATATTAATAACTTCTTACATGATAACAAAAAAAAAACAAAAAAATTATGAATTTATCTTTTTATTAAAAAATATCATTCAATACATTTATTTTTATTAAAAGTAAAATAATGGAATAAAGGGTACAAAAACTACAATTTATAATTTTAATCATCTTCTTCCTCTTCATCGTCGTCTTCCGGCTGCTGGTAAATTTCAAACTGGTCTTCATTATCATCTTCAACGACATTTGTCTCAAGTTCTGCCATGATTTCGGGGTCAAAAGTTCCATCTTCGTTAATGTCGCTCTGATATGGTAGAGCATTAAGACAAGCTTGCCCATTACATTGGCCACAAGCTAAAGAGCATTGCAAGCCCGCTTTCCTGCATCCGCATCGCGAACCACAACCACTCTTGCAGTTGCAGAAAATTGTATTTAGCAAATGTTCTGGAGCAGGTGGTAAAATTGTCATGATAGGCTCCAGAAAATCGTTTCGCATTGCCCAACCCCATACCTGGGGTTCCAAATCATGCCCTAACCAAGTTTGAACTTGATAATATGTCGAAACAGCAAGAGCAGCTGCACTTGTTGGTGGAATATTTGAAAGCTGCACAGGTTTATTAAGTTTTGTAGACTTGACGTAATGCATATAACGAAGATGATCGAGACTTTTCACAGATTTCGGAGCATTATAGACTGCCAATAAAGTTTGAGTTCCACTCTCTAATAATCTCTGGGCCGAACAATTTTCTTCCTCAAATGCTGCAGCTAGTTCATCCAAATTTGTCAGTTTCTCAAAAACTTTTAAAAATGTTTTTTTCCCCTTTTTAAAAAGCGCAGAAGTTGTGTCACATCCACTTAATGCGTGCAGAAATAAAATATGTGTTTTGGAATGAGGATAATTAACAAAACTTTTAGTCGAGTATATCTCCGTTTTTACATTGCCTTTCCCAACTTTTTTAAAGAAAATTTCTTGTTCGTAAGACAGTGTACACCCAATTAAAATGACGAATAAATCAATATCTTGTCCTATTATAACTGCAGTTTTTTCAGACTTGATTATTGAATAGATAAAGATTTAAGGCATGAAGAAAATGATAAAATATAATATAATAGTTAATAAAAATTAACAAATATTTATAATCATTGATTTATCGATAGTTCATCAACTATATATGGCGCGTTTTTGACCGGAGAAACCGGTTGACCTGAAGTGATGCTGTGACCGCGCGCTCTCCGCCCTCTATCTCTAAAACGGTTCACCGTATGAAAAATTTTTTTTAACAAAATTTGTAGAGAATTTTGTATTCTACAATATTGACAATAAATACAAACAGCAAAAAACCCATAGGAAATGAGATATTTACAAAAAAAGCGCAAAAAACCGATTTTTGTGACCTTTGACCTTGAAATTTAATAGTTGCGTACACCCTACCATATGTAGGTTTTGAGACAACTTTTAGGGTGTCAATATACAAGTATTTACAGACTTACAGCTGGGTATCTCGAATTCCGAGATTCTTACCTAATTTAAGCTTAAATGACTGGACTATTATTTCTAATTAATCAAAAATAATGTTGTGAATAATTGGTAACAATTCGGCTTAATTATGGCAAATATGAGTTATGTGGCAATGAATGTCAGCTATTAAAAATTTGAGCTTAGAAAAATGATTATGCTCCCATTTTTTCCGAATAAAACGGAACTGCGCGTCACTGTGGCATGGCCTATTATGTTTAGGATATGGTTCTTTTGTGTTAAAATACGATCTAAATGTAACCTTTGATTTCATGTGCGTATTAATAAACTTTAAAAGTTACAATTTAGGACCTCACTCAACAGTGGCGCCATCTGGTGAGGCAGAAAACGGTAGCCCTCATTGCGGCATGATACTGGGAGGCAGAGTGTAATTTATGTGCTTGCAGTGCTGTCTTTGACCTATTGGAGACCCTGGGCATATTAGGATAATGGGGCCCCTATGACTTCCGTTTGGTGATTTAACAGGAACTAGGGACTTTGTATTTGATCTGAGGGGGCCCCCTATCGATCGCGGGGCCCTGAGCACTTGCCCAAAGTGCCCACTGGGAGACGACACTGGCCACGTTTCCCACTGGGAAAGGGTCTGTGTGCTTGTGTTTACTCACCTCTCGCTGATCATGAAACTGTGATTCGGTATCTCTTGTATTCATTTCATCTGATCATTACGTAAACAACGTAAGTATATTCGTTACTAGGTATTATAGTTTAAGTAAATGCACGTTTAAAGAAGGTAATTATTAATAATTGCAGTCGCTAATAGGATAAATGTAAGCAAATGTCACTTGACTGGCATCAACCTTGATGACAGATTTATTATTCTTTTTGAATCATGCATAGTCAGGGACGCATTTTAAAACCTGGCTTCCCAGGTCACCTAATATACGCTTTACTGCGATAAACTTCAAACGACAGTACTTGAGTATTGTTGTTCGATATTTCGGCACTGTTGCAAGCGCCATAATCACGGAGTAACTGAAGTAATTGCGGGTGTTATTGGCAGACATATCGGTCTACCCTTCGACGAAGTCTTTTATTGCGTTCGATACCCGTACCACTGTTCTCATTCTCACTATTCACTCGAAACTGTTCTGGACACACAACACTTACAGTATAGGATCGCGACACAACACTTTTTCGATTCCAGACACTCTACAATTTAAACCCGTCCTCATGATTGAATTTTTTATGTATTGTTATTTCAATCGCTTCCCTGACCAATCTTGGTATGTAGTGGCGTTCTGTCGGTTTCATTACTTCAGTTACGTGATCATGGCGCTTGCAACAGTGCCAAAATATCGGAAACTCGCTATAAACAAGGTACATGGTAACAATCCCGTAAATCTTTATATATATAATTCTTCTGTGAGTGTGTATGTCACTGAACTTCTCTTAAACGACTGGACCGATTTTGATGAAATTTTTTGTGTGTGTTCAAGGGGATCTGAGAATGGTTTAGATTCACAGTTTTGTCCGCTGGACAACCCCTATTTTTTTAGGGCGGTACGAAGTTCGCTGGGTCAGCTAGTAAATTATATTACTATAATTATACAACGTTTTCATCGCGTCTAACTGTCAAACTCCATAGTGATTTGACAATTGAGCGTGCTAAAAACGACCTATATAACAATCGCGGTGCTAACAACTTTTTTGACATTTACAGTGTACAGGTCGCGGCTTGGAACTCTAGCGCTGAACAAAACGTGCCAGGGATAGCTGCGCATGGGTACGACTGGAGAGACAATCGGCGCAACGCACGCCCCTCCGCGTACCTCGTTTCCCCCCCAAGACATCTTAATTTTTACTTCTGCGCAATAACGGTCAGCAGTTTCGTGCCGCGACTTATAACTGAAGTGAAAATTGCATATCCATCGCTGCTTTTCAGGACAAGTTTCTTATTGACGTTACATAAAGTAGTAGTGGATCACTAACATAAACTAATAAACTACGGTATCTTCAAAAAGGGAAGAAATGAAAAGGCTGTCACGTATTTCACTTTATACTTCAACAAATAATCATCTATTAAAAAAACAGACATGTAAATACCTATAGCTCTACCACCTTCCATCTTTAAAGCTTTTTACAAAAATAAAGGGTATATATCAAAAGAAAATATTACTAGACAAAATTCCATTGTCATTGTGGGCTACCTACAATGCGAAGAGATGGCTCTGTCATGCAGCTAAAGAAAGGCTAAAAAGAATTCGTCACGGCCGTCAGGGCCGCGCTAGCATAATGGTCAATGTATTCGCCCGGATAGCGAAGGATTCCAGTCACGTCTGCTGTCTGGTCCGCGTGGATTTTTTTCTAGTAATATTTTCTTCAGACTTAAACATCGAGTAGTTACATACTTCAAAAAAATAAAAATTATAATAAATGGTACAGTTGAGATTAAACTATTTATAAAGATTAAATATAGAAATGGAATGACTACATCGAATATATCAAGTCTTTAATTTTGAGGGAACAAAACAACGATTTTCAAAACCCAAAAACATTCGTTGAACGTCATTAATCACCTTATTTGACGACCTCCGTGGCCGAGTGGTTTATACGCCGGGTTTCATGGCGTCGCCGACTCGAGAGGTCCCGGGTTCGAATCCCGGTGGGGGCAGATGTTTGTGTGATGAATACGAGCATTTGTACTCCAGTCATGGATGTTTAATATGTATTTCATATAAATATACTTATATATGTACAATATGTATATGTATTCTATCCGTTACCCTAGTATCCCATAACACAAGCCTTTACAGTGCTTACTTTGGGGCTAGGCTAATTGGTGTGAGTGTTGGAAATATTTATTTATTTATTTGCTTCGCTTACATCGACGAGTGTTTTACATTAATTATGATTCATGTTTAAACATTGTTTTTCTTTTGAATCCAAATAAGCAGTTCATTATGATGTACATATAGGTAGTAAGTTGACCTATCACATCAATTGGTGTTACATATAGTTACAATAATAGTGTTTTAACAATACTTTAACATCAGTCTATCCTTTTCATTCTGTCTAAAGAATGACAAGGACACACTGTGGTTAAATTTAATTTTAGGTTTACAGTACCCTTAGCACGAACCAATTGATATCAAATTCGAATAGTTTGCGAGTCTGAAATGTCATTGTCAAATGTGTACTGATTTTTAGTTCTCGTTACGTCCTTTGTGGCGCCGCTGTTTTGATTTTCCATACAAAATTTAACAATGAAATTTCGGACTGTCATACTATTCGAATTCGATATTGGTTCGTGCTAGTGGTACAAAATCAATTCAGAATCGACACCAATGTCTCATTACATTTAGATCTTTTACAAGGTATTACATACATAATGTTTTTGTGAAATAATTGATCAAGATGGAATATTAGTTATAATTTTTTATCAAACATGTCAAATAGATAAACATGGTTAGATTAATGTTTTCTATTTGTCTTTTCTGAATCGAACGGTGTTTTATATTTTTTGACGTGACAACGTCTTAAATTAGGTTGCGGCTGGGAGTCACTTATGAAAAAGTGTAACGCTCGGTAACGTTACGATGAGTCTCTCGTGTTAAGTTTAAGTTTACATGTACAATGTTTTAGTAAACAAAATATATTTCTATAGTTAAAATTTGTGCAATTCTTATTTTCATTCAATTCCTTGTTCCTATTGTGCAATTTAATTATATTCATATCAATAAATATTCTACCGAGAAAAAGACGTTGTCACGTAAAATCTTCGCCCGTAAAACCGACTTTACAGGCAACCATTTTTTTTTTATCTATTATTATTAAAACTATTGATTTACCTAAATACCCATGTCTTAACAGGCCGCTGGCGTCAATTCCGGCATGAATCTCTAAACCTAAACTTAAATTTGACAACAATTTAACCTTGTCATTCTCTATACAGAATGAACGGGAGAGATTGATGTTAAATTTAGTTTTAAGTTTAGAGAATCATGCCAGAATCGACACCATTATCTATTGTTTACGTCTAGAGTCTGTTCGGAAAGAGAATGGGCATGGCGAAAAACGGAACTAACACTAAGATTTTTATTTGGCAATCAATCCCAGCAATCTGTAAAACGTCAAAGTTTTGTATTGATACGGATTTGTTTGTTGTTGTAATTTCTTGCGGTTTTTTGTATTTAATCATGTCTAAAAGGGGTAAAACCTTAAAAATACGGTAGAAAAGCCCTACCTACTGCGCCCTCCAATCTAAATCCCATTCTCTTTCCGCACAGACTCTAAAACACTTTTTAGCTTACAATCATCATCAAGAATAGTAGGGCTATTCTGTTAAATAAAATCTCACGATTTCGGCAGCTGCCAGTTTAGACATGAGTTTGATATGCATTACGCCATTACACGGCTAAGTGTCGCTATGTCTGTAGAAGCAGCCAGCATTACAAATTTGGCAATGATCATAAATCCGAATAAATGGGATCGTAAGTAAGGTTGCATCTTACAGAGTGCCTATACAGCCCCCACACTCTTTGACATAAGTCTTTGCGCTAGACGGATAAGGAAGAATGCGCTATGATCCACCACGTGTATTTAGTCTATATTTGTGGGTGCAGTGCAACACGTGTTAAGATATGCCCGAATCGTGGAGAAGCTCAAGATAATAAGTTTCGGTCCCCCATCCTAATGCCAGGGGCCACTGCAAAATTTGCTTAAGTTCCTCGATCGTAGGCAGAAAATGGTAGGCACTAAGCAATTGAGCTCCTCTAGATTTAATAAAATTTAATAAAGCATAAGTTCTACGTCGTAAATATAATTTCGCGTATTATTTTATTTCATCTACAACGGTGACCCTGTCAAAAGTTACCTTACTAGGTATTACATATACTTTAAAGTTATTTCATGTTTTACTTAAGACATAAAATATTTACTACATAGGTATAGATATTTTCAACCATACTCAGTTTTACCCTTCGAGTATTTATAGATACTTAAATGTTTTACCACACTCACTTCAATGGGGTATTTGACAAGTTTTAGAAAACGATCTCACGTTATTGACTAATGTTTGTGGAGTCCGTAAAAAGGATATTCATCATTCTATTGTGTATTTCAGTAAAAATAACCAAATCAAAATCTCAATTTTCAAGTTGCCGCGAAAACGTTTTTCTGGACAATATGGCGTCTTACTAGTGTGTGACATCAGACGACTGTTATTAAAACGTCAAACGATACAATGTAATGTTGGGATTGGCGGAGCCTAAAATGTGACATCATTTTAGGCTCCGCCAATCCCAAGCGTTTTAGGTCACGTGACAATAGATATGAAAACTATTATCTTTTTCGTGAGTTTTTAGTAAAATTATGAATATTTTTTTTTGTAAAAATAGTAAATACCCCTGACAATATTCATTCTAAACACAGATGCTAACAATTGGCACTTTATTTTTAATACCGTCAAATACCCTATTGCAATTCATTGAATATTTTGTTTCCCGTTTAATTTTATCAATAGAAGTGCATTGACTATGAAAGAAGAAAAATTAAAGTAAAGATATATTTTACATTTTCAATCTTAAATTCAGCTAAGTATGTTCAATATTCTCTAGCATTAATAAAGTGACTGAATACTGAAGCGATTTGTAATTGTATTACAAACTTAGATAAAAACAAAAAGGGTAGATACGGTACGCTCATACTAGCATCAAATAAAATATGCTCCGACTCAACTACATAAGCAACTCTCACGCACGCACACTTTTGTAAATAAAAATTCAACCGAGCGAGCGAGACAGAGCAGTACGCTTCAACCCAGCGCGAGCGAAACGGCGAGACCGCGTTTTTTTTCGTTATACGAATGAAAAGTGTTGCCGTGAAATACGTTATTTGACCTTGAACTATTTGTATTCTTTATAAAGGCATAAGAGGCATTATATATTGTTATATTGAGTGCACATCCAGCGTGTTTAGATGTCCAATTGTGACTACAGTGAATTGTGGTCATGCACCACAATTTCAGCGGCTCACTTTCGAGCCGCGAGTTTTCCTTGTTGTTTAAATCTAAGTATTGCAAAGTTAAAATGTAGGTAAGTACAGATTAATAGCACATAAGTAGTGAATATAGATAATGGGTATCGATTCTGGCACGATTCTCTATATCTAAACTTAAATTTGACAACAGTGTATCCTTGTCATTCTCTATACAGAATGAAAAGGAGAGACTAATGTTAAATTTAGTTTTAAGTTTAGAGAATCACGCCAGAATCGACATCAGTTTCCATTTCCCATCACAAACATAATCTGGAGGACAACCTCGAACTTTGGTGATCCTAATGTATTTTGTACTCTATTCTAGGGCTGGATTAGGTCGCTTTCACTTTGTTGTTTCTCATGTATTCTTCACGGAAGTTTTCGTTTAACCGATGACCTATCTTTATCCTGATCCATTCCGGGGCGATTTTGATGAAGAAATACTGAAATTAAAATAATTTAAACGTTTAACAACGCACATAACAACTTTAAGAAAATTAATCCATGATTGAAGGTAAAGTTAAGTATGTAATAAAAGAAACTTGATTGAATTTCAACTCTATAACTGTGTATATCTGGTTCCGAAAGAAGTAAGCATTATGCAATGATAAAGTGGTAGTTATTAATAAATATATACTAGTTACTAGTGAAAGGTTTCCTTTCTTTCTTTTCTAAAAAATCTAATTCAATAAAGTATAGATTAATAATCGCAGTTTCATACAGTCATGGCGCCATATTATACCTGCAGGCCGTCCAGCCAGTAGCCGGTGGTAGCTGACACGCGGCCGAGTGCAGCGACTGCATGTCTCGCGTAGGTGTCAGCACTGGGTACTATATTATACCTGCAGGCCGTGCAGCCAGTAGCCGGTGGTAGCAGACACGCGGCCGAGTGCAGCGACTGCATGTGTCGCGTAGGTGTCAGTACTGGGTACTATATTATACCTGCAGGCCGTGCAGCCAGTAGCCGGTGGTAGCTGACACGCGGCCGAGTGCAGCGACTGCATGTCTCGCGTAGGTGTCAGCACTGGGTACTATATTATACCTGCAGGCCGTGCAGCCAGTAGCCGGTGGTAGCTGACACGCGGCCGAGTGCAGCGACTGCATGTCTCGCGTAGGTGTCAGTACTGGGTACTATATTATACCTGCAGGCCGTGCAGCCAGTAGCCGGTGGTAGCTGACACGCGGCCGAGTGCAGCGACTGCATGTCTCGCGTAGGTGTCAGCACTGGGTACTATATTATACCTGCAGGCCGTGCAGCCAGTAGCCGGTGGTAGCAGACACGCGGCCGAGTGCAGCGACTGCATGTCTCGCGTAGGTGTCAGCACTGGGTACTATATTATACCTGCAGGCCGTGCAGCCAGTAGCCGGTGGTAGCTGACACGCGGCCGAGTGCAGCGACTGCATGTGTCGCGTAGGTGTCAGTACTGGGTACTATATTATACCTGCAGGCCGTGCAGCCAGTAGCCGGTGGTAGCTGACACGCGGCCGAGTGCAGCGACTGCATGTCTCGCGTAGGTGTCAGCACTGGGTACTATATTATACCTGCAGGCCGTGCAGCCAGTAGCCGGTGGTAGCAGACACGCGGCCGAGTGCAGCGACTGCATGTGTCGCGTAGGTGTCAGTACTGGGTACTATATTATACCTGCAGGCCGTGCAGCCAGTAGCCGGTGGTAGCTGACACGCGGCCGAGTGCAGCGACTGCATGTCTCGCGTAGGTGTCAGCACTGGGTACTATATTATACCTGCAGGCCGTGCAGCCAGTAGCCGGTGGTAGCTGACACGCGGCCGAGTGCAGCGACTGCATGTCTCGCGTAGGTGTCAGCACTGGGTACGAGTACTCCGCCGTCGAGGAGGCGGCGCGAGAAAGCGTTGATCTTAGTGGAGACAAACAGTGGCGCCACGTGCTGTACGTGCACTCCCTGCGGACCGTACTCCTCACGCAGCGCGTACGTAAAGCTGCGCACATACGCCTGGACAGACATTATGGTATGGAATTATTAGCTCAGTACCCCTAGCACGAACCGAAGCAATATCGAATTTGAATAGTTGAATTGGATCTCGATTTGTGTCGAATGTCAAGAAGTTTTGTATGGAAATTTGAACAGTGCCACAACGGACGTAAGGAGAATTAAAAATATTCGATACGAAACTTCTTGACAATTGACGCGTATCAAGATCCAATTCAACTATTACAGTACGATATTGATTCGTGCTAAGGGTACAGACCGATCTTTGAGAACATATGCGCCTTTTTAATAGGAAATTAAAGCTTTTATCTTAAAATTGTAATAACAATGAAGATAAGATAGTTCTCCACCTCACATACGCGGCAGTATATAGTCATGAGCGACAGAGATTGCAGCAGCTCGGAGCCGCTGAAGACGTTGAAGCAGCAATAGGCCTTCCCTATGGAAAGAATAGGGAATTTGGGCCATGACCCCTGTGATTCGTGGGTGCTAACGACTGCAGTTGCAGCCGGGACCAACAGCTGAACGTGCCATACGAAGCACGGAGGAGCTCGAGATAGTAAATTTTTGGTCACCCATCCAATGACCGACCACTGCGAAAGTGGCTTAACTTGAACGATCGCAGTCGAACGCGCTAACCACTTGCACCATCGAGACTATAACCTTGGCGACAGCGTATATATATTTATCAGCGGCAACGGTTGCCTGCCTGATAGCACCAGCCACCGCTATTGTTTTATTAGATACTAGCGGCCCGCCCTCGCTTCGCTTCAGTGTAGAGCTGAAGTGTTGACTACAGTTTTTATTCTCAGGCTTGTATTATACACAATGACATTCATCTATGATTCTACTTATACCTGCATGCAAAGTCTCAGCCCGATCGGTTTAAAAATTCACAAAGTTTCATACAAACTTTCATTCCCTATTTTATCCCCTTGGGGGTAGAATTGATCAAAACCCTTTCTTAGCGGATGCCTACGTCATAACATCTACCTGCATGCCAAATTTCAGCCGGATCCGTCCAGTGGTTTGGGCTGTGCGTTGATAGATCACTATGTCAGTCAGTCACCTTTGAGTTGTATATATATAGATTTCGCGGTGGGTTTACCTTAGTGGCAGCGTATATCGTCATCAACGGCAGAGGTTGCAGCTCTGACCCGCTGGACACATTAACCAGAGCGCCCCGTCCGCGCGCCACCATCCCCGGCAGCACGAGGCGGCTCATAGCCGTTACCGCGCCCACATTCACGTTTATCAGCTCCCAGGTCCGCGCGTCCGACACCTCGCACACCGGCATCGGGTACTCGTAGTTCAGACCTACGTTGTTCACTGGAAAAAACAATAGAGGTTCATAATTCCGACTTAGCATTAAGTGTCGCCTCACACGGGCCACACGCCACAGCCACAAACGCCGCCACGAGAAGCTAGAAGCGGCTACTAAAGTAGCTGAAGCGCGCGACAGCGGCCGAATAAGGTAAAGAAGAGAGGGCGAGTGCGGGCCACAAGAAGCGAGCAAAGACGATTTGTAGCGTGTGGCGGCCACCGGCGTACCGTGTGTGGCGAGTCCATATAAAATGTATGAAAACTACAAGAAATATGCCGGTGGCGGCGTTTTGTGGTTGTGGTCGGTGACCCGTGTGCGGCGACACTAAACGTGAAAGCCGATCCACATGACACAAAATAAAGCGCCACTGATGAACAGCCACTCAACTCAACTTTATGTCGGTTGTGGAGAACGAGCGCGAGAATGCGCAGGTTGCAGTTCAGTGACATCTCGCGCACACTTACATAACCCTATTTTTCGTTTACTCAACAATTCGAATCGTTCTATACATAAACAAAAAACTGTACGATTCGCATCGTCCACGCGGCAGTATTTACAGCACAAACTTTTGCGCCAACTACCACTAGGTCTACATATTTCGTATCGCATAAGTTGGTGCTGTGTGTTTAAAAGGGCATATATTTGCACGGGTGAGAAACTCCAAATTTGAAACACAACACAGAGGGTTGAAAGGGAAATTAGAAGGGTGAAAATATAACGTTTGTACGGGAACCGATGTCGCCGGCTCACCCCTACTGCACTTCCACCTAATAGTAATAGCCAATCAAACGACGCAACATCAAACAATCGAACCAATCAGGGCTCACACCCGAGAGCAACGATGCAATCAGAACCAAGTTTTGGTTAAGTTATGAATGAGCATTTGCCCACACATAAATGTGGAGCGCCTGCCACGCCTACAATGCTCTTCTAAACTCTTTTTTATGTGTTCTGTAGTTAAGTCAGTGCCGACTCGATACTAGCATAGTGTGAATTTATTTGGAGACAGTACAGAGCCAATGTCATGTCAAGTCACGACACACTGGGAGGCAGTTCCCGGACGTCAGTACTAATTGATTTGACATCAGTACCCGCATCCGTGTCACTGACCCTGGGTAAATCTCCTATCACACCCACCTAAGGTAAATATTGAACACTTTACAAAATACTGCGTAAAGCATACATCATCTTACCCAGCACTCCCAGAGGGATATCCTTCAGTTCCTCCTCGATGTGCGAGTAAATCTGTGCGCCCTCACTGAAGTCTGCCACTATAGTTTTAGTCTTGACACTGTGCAACTTCTCTGGAAGAAAGGTATGCGTACTCTGGTCATTAATACAATTTAACAGAACCACCCAACTCCCACCTTTTGAAGATCACATTAAATAACACTGATTTTGGTAGTGCTGTTTCTATTAGTAAGTAAGGATCCAAAGAGCACCACAAGGTGATGGAATTGGCCAAGGCCGGCAAGGTGAAGTATGCGGTAGCTTCGCGACTGATTTGATAAATTTTATAAATAAGTTATTTTATAGTAAGCTATGAGGAGCTCGATGGCGCAGGTGGTTAGCGTGTTCGGCTGCGATGGTTGAAGTTAAGCAACTTTCGCAGGGGTCGGTCATTGGATGGGTGACCAAAAACATCTATCTCGGGTTCCTCCGTGCTTCGGGAGGCACATTAAGCCGTTGGTCCCGGCTGCATCTGCAGTCGTTAGCACCCACCAAACCGCACTGGGCCCGCGTGGAGGGTCATGGCCCAACCTCCCTATTCCATCCATGGGGAAGGCCTGTGCCCCAGCAGTGGGACATTAATAGGCTGGTGATGAAGTAAGCTATATCCTGATTAAATAACATTTTCTAAAGAACTGTCTACTCCATTCCCAACATCAAACTGTTCCTCGTCCATACTTCTATAAAAAACGCTCTCAGCTTCTCAGGCTTCTGCGTTCATTCATCTGTCACTGTTAATCTTTTTACTGTCTTACTGTTACGATTCATGAAGTATGGCTATAATTCATTACAATCGATATTAAAATAAGGCTTTTTTTTAAATTTAAGAAAACCATTTCGATGATTTTTCTTTGACCTTTTGTTTATGATGTTACGAAACTCATTCTTTACTTTGTATACCTATAATAAATTTTAAATTTCACATTATCACCTAACGCGCCTTGTAATATAAAGGTCCGAGTTGCGGCTGATCAGCACCACGTTGAACTCAAGACAGTACAAGTGGCAGTTGTACCTATCTTCGCGGCGACGGCCAGCAGCTTGTCCGAGTTGCTGCTGATCAGCAACACGTTGAACCCAAGATAGTACAAGTGGCAGGTGTACCTATCTCCGTGGCGACATCTCGCAGCTTGTCCGGGTTAAAGCTGATCAACACCACGTTGAACCCAAGACAATACAAGTGGCAGGTGTACCTATCTTCGCTGCGACGGCCAGCAGCTTATCCGAGTTGCTGCTGATCAGCACCACGTTGAACCCAAGACAGTACAAGTGGCAGGTGTACCTATCTCCGTGGCGAAGGCTAGAAGCTTGTCTGGGTTGCGGCTGATCAGCAACACGATGAATGCAAGATGGAACAAATGGCAGGTGTACCTATCTCCGTGGCGACATCTCGCAGCTTGTCCGGGTTAGAGCTGATCAACACCACGTTGAACCCAAGACAGTACAAGTGGCAGGTGTACCTATCTTCGTGGCGACGGCCAGCGGCTTGTCCGAGTTGCTGCTGATCAGCACCACGTTGAACCCAAGACAGTACAAGTGGCAGGTGTACCTATCTTCGCGGCGACGGCCAGCAGCTCGTCCAAGTTGCTGCTGATCAGCAGCACGTTGAACCCAAGACAGTACAAGTGGCAGGTGTACCTATCTTCGCGGCGACGGCCAGCAGTTTGTCCGAGTTGCTGCTGATCAGCACCACGTTGAACCCAAGACAGTACAAGTGGCAGATGTACCTATTTCCGTGGCGACGGCTCGCAGTTTATCCGGGTTGCGGCTGATCAGTACCACGTTGAATCCGCGTCGCGCCAACTCCAAGGCATAGTGCTTCCCTATGCCATCCGTGCTACCGGTCACAGCTAGAATCAAACACATAATCTTAAATTAGACTTACACACTGCTGAAATATACAGAATATACGTGTCATGAACTTTTCACTTTTTGAGGAAATATTTTTAATATCGTTGGGTAATATACCAAATGTAGCATTTTCAAAGAAAAGGGTTTTTATATATATAGCCAGGTAGGCAAATGTCTCTACACCACCTAATGTTAAGTGGTGATAAAGTCCAAACACGAAGATAGCTGGTACAGCAGTTATAAACTGCCACATCAACCATCCTCACCTTGCCGACCTGTAAAAATGCTTCATCACGCCTCTTAAAGGACCCCAGATTGTAGGAAGGAACTAACACGTGCGCGGGCAAAGAATTCCACTTACGAATAGTACCACGAAGAAATGAGTCAGCATTTCTTTGTTCGTGCAGGAATAGTAGCCAAAGTAAGTCGGTGCCAACGTAGGCCAGGTTGATTTAATATGCCAGCAAATAAGAAGCCAGTTGAGTTTCGAGGGGAGTGTGTAATTACGAAGGTTAAAAATAAATCTGATACACATATTCTGCAAACGTTTCAAATTATCTAGCAGTTTCTCGGAGTAGTCCAGTCGTCATAATATTTGTAATGGCACTCGCAACCTAAGTTTTTAGATTCTCCCACAGAAACCTTAAAAAAATACCAGAAAAATCCGATTCAGAAATTTAATGGATAAGCACCCTCGATACCATAAATATCAGTCACAAAATACTGGTTCAAAATTTGTACCCCAATCAGTGGAAAAGAACAGGACGATGGACTATAAGATCTTGTAGTTTTCATACATTTTATATGGACTCGCCACACACGGTACGCCCGCCCGCGCCGGTGGCCGCCACACGCTACAAATCGTCGCGTCGTTGCTCGCTTCTTGTGGCCCGCACCGGCCACATATTGCGCCGATACAAAACGCCGACACACGACACTCGCGCGATCCCCACCCCTCTCTCCCTTGCCTTAGTCGGCCGCTGTCGCGCGCTTCAGCCACTTCATGGACTATAAGATCAGCATAACAAACATCAGCAATGACAAAATGGACAGTCAGAGTCTGCGCCAGAGTGGATTTAGTACTGTAACCTTAGCTGGCCGTCGTCATCTCCAAATGTATGGAAAAAGCTAGTTTGTTCTTACGACCAGTAGGGGAACTACTAAATTTTCATAGAAACTTAGACGATACGTTACGGAGCTGTCAGAAATTCATGCTTGGTGCCTCTGGTCGGCAAAAAGAAACGATTCGTTAAGAGAGTTATATGCAGCAAATATTTTGCTGAGGTTTCCAAGAAACAGTGATCAGATGTCACCCCAAAGTTTTGACCAGTGCTAGCAAAACGTATAATAATTTCATCAAAAGTGACGGGAGGCAGTATTTCAAAGCAAATTACGAATTACCAATACACACACACACTCTAGTCTATCGAATATATAAAATTCTCGGTTGCAGCCACATAATGACCACTCATTTTGTGGCTGCAACCTAAATAAACTAGTTGCGGTATCATTATGTTTTAAAAAGTAAATCCTAGGGCTCGATAATGGCATACCTATCCTTCAACCGAATACCAAGTAACCGCAGAACTGCACTTCAATACAATATCACCAAGCAGATAAAGTTCAAGTTTATAATTTGTTAGTGTAATTCAACATCACATCAGCCTCGGATCAATGTAAGCCAGGACGTGAGTCGAAAACCACACTGTTTCTATTCACAATAAATATAACAAAACAAATTACATGAGTATCTATACTAGAAAAAAACTACTAAGAACTCCTTTCGATTTATAAATGTAGGTAGCAGTTTAATGTTTAAAATAACAAGATAGTAAATATATCAATCAAAAAACAACGCACGTCACAAACAAAAGAGTATTAAGTCGGCAAAACAATTTATTTTTTATTTGCGTTTCGAAAACTCTTTTTTTTTTCTCTATAAACTGGTAAGATAATTGTATTTTAATTCGAAATAGTTTTTGAATTATAGCAACATATGTCATCAATTTCTAGGCAAAATTTATGATTGTGAGTATTCTAAACAGTATTAGGTTAAGTTAATACCCTATTGCTCGTTCGGATTAATACAAGTTTGAAGTTTTATTTAAAATAATACCCTCTGACCTGTTCAATTTTATTTAATATGTTATTTTCAGCGAAATTATTTTAAAATGATACTAGTTTTAATTTTATCATGAGCTTTTTGAGCCATTTGAACTGCTTATAAGGTATTCTCTTTACCCAGTTTCACATAAAAGTACTTTCAAAATAAAGACTACTATTGATACACTAACTAAACTTACTCAACACAAAGAAGGATAATGTAGGTATAAATCAAGGTATCATTTTAAACATTTGAACAAGTAGTTCCGCTTTTATGATTTTTTAAAACTTCAAAACGCGATATCTCAGAACACTGTTTTTGAAGAAGACGACGACGACGTATGGTAAAAAGCACTAACAAAAATCAGGAAACATTTTAAAAAGACTTTTCTAATCTTGGAGTAAAAACAAACTTTGCGATGAAAATATTTAGTTAGTTGAATGTTGGTTTATACAATTATTGCCATCATCAGGAAATATCAGCGAGGCAGTATAATCACTCAATAACAAAATGACGTACCTTCTTCATTACCCAAGAAATAACATTTTATGTAAACAAAGCACGGACGTCGCATACGCACGGATATGTTAAAGCAAATTCAATATTTAATTCAAGAACTCAACATAGGCAAAATAAACAGCTAAGTGTAAACCAAGAGACGTAGATGGTATACTTAGTTTGAACATGAAGATTTTACTAGAAAAAATCCACTTTGCACGCTGTCCGGGCGGAATTCTTTAGATTTGAACATCCAGCAGTAGAATTCTTCACAAAAAATACATACATCAAAAATTCTAAGCAGCACGCAAAATAAATTTGCAGAAACTATGTAATAATCTATTAATTGTTTTTTTCTTTCTTAGTGAAGTGGATTGGTATATAATATTTTTTGTTCATCAACAGCCTATCTTAGTCCAGTGCTGGACATAGGCCTCTCTATTTGCACGCCACTGATATCGATCTTGGGTTGCTCGCATCCAGCTCCTGCCAGCCACCGTGCGCAATAAAAAATTCTGATTCTGATTTTGATTCAAATCGTCACTCCACCATGCCTGAGGACGTCCTACACTACGTTTGCCTAAACGCAGTCTTGGGGCCGTTCAAGTATTACGTAAGCATTATTTTTTTCTAGTAAACTTTTCTTTAGATTTAAACATCTAGCAGTTAAATGCTTAAAAAAAATAAAAACATAACTATAATTGCTATTTCTTCTTTCAAATGTTTTGAAAAAGTATTCATTTGACATTGTGGATTACCCACAATGCGAAGAGATGGCGCTCCCTTGCAGCTTAAGGCTAGGAAAATTTCGACGCGGCGAATAGGGCCGTGGTAGCATAATGGTCAGTGCATTCGCCCGGATAGCGAAGGGTGCGGGTTCGAGTCCCGTCCGCTGCCTAGTCCGCGTGGATTTTTTTCTAATAAACTTTTCTTTAGATGCATATATGATTACTACCTAACCCATTAAAATGAAAGGCCCGTATCATAGAAGAAAGAAGAGAGATTGAGATTGGGCCATGACCCACCACGCGGGCCCAGTGCGGATTGGTGGGTGCTAACGACTGCAGATGCAGCCGGGACCAACGGCTTAACGTGCCTCCCGAAGCACGGAGGAACTCGAGATAGTAAATTTTTGGTCACACATCCAATAACCGACAACTGCGATAGTTGCTTAACTTCAACGATCGCAGCCGAACGCGCTAACCTCTTGCGCCATCGAGCTTCTTATTAATTAAAGATTAAAGCAGTAGCTTGTCATTATTAAGAATTCTTAATTCTTCTAGTTATCCAAGCTACTGTCAAGAATGAGATACGTCTATATATAAAACTCAAAGGTTACTGACTGACTGACATAGTAATCTATCAACGCACAGCCCAAACCACTGGACGGATCGGGCTGAAATTTAGCATGCAGGTTGATGTTATGACGTAGGCATCCGCTAAGAAAGGATTTTGATCAATTCTACCCCCAAGGGGATAAAATAGGGAATGAAAGTTTGTATGAAACTTTGTCAATTTTAAACCGATCGGGCTGAGACTTTGCATGCAGGTATAAGAAGAATCATAGATGAATATTATTGGGTATAATACAAGCCTGAGAACAAAAACTGTAGTCTACACTTCAGCTCTACACCGAAGCGAAGCGAGGGCGGGCCGCTAGTACTTTTATAAATATCAAGCATTCGTAAGAAGAAATTAAAAATTTATTAGTATTAACTATTATGTAACATACTTAACTTTATTTATCAAAAATGCCTCAATTATGTTGTGTTGCGATGATCAAACTGCTTTTAGATACCTTAACCTATTGATACACCGTTCTATCACGTAATCATTTTGGGACTTGTGATGCGCGTGCTGGACAGGCCGTACGTTAATCTTTTATAACTCGTTACGTTACGTAAAAGCTCTCTACAACGATTTCACTAATAAGCAAAGTATCTCTTATCTATTAGACAAGTCCGTCCGTCCGTCTGTGGTGCTGTTTCAGCGGCCAAACCGTAAGAGATAGATAAAGAGAATATTTAAGTTATAAGTTAAGAATAGTCTGATAAGACTACAAACCGGATTGAGTAACGTAGCACTTCCGGTTTTCGAGAAATCACGAATTTCAAACGAAACCACACAAAATCTCCGAAGTTCTCAATTAATTAAATACATTTGACGACCTCCGTGGCCGAGTGGTTTGTACGCCGGGTTTCATGGTGTCGCCGACTCGAGAGGTCCTGGGTTCAAATCCCGGTGGGGGCAGATGTTTGTGTGATGAATACGAGCATTTGTACTCCAGTCATGGATGTTTAGTATGTATTTTCTATATAAATATACTTATATGTATAAAGTATATGTATTCTATCCGTTACCCTAGTATCCCATAACACAAGCCTTATAGTGCTTACT